TTAAGGCAATAGTTTTGTTCAAGCCAGGTAAATAAAAGCTTAATTGCATACAAAACCACTGTGTATTCTATAAATTTGATAATCCAACTCATCTTTGCATTTTGATTACTTGACACAGAGACACGCAACCTCAAAGATGCCAGCCAGGTTGAAAACTTGCAAGATCAGTCCCACTTGCTATTGAGTCAGCACATTCAATTGGTGTATCCCAGCAACGCTTCAAGGTGACAAACTGTATCTTTAAAATTTAACAAAGATCTTCAAGCATGTTTGAAAATAAAAAAGGAAAAAATAAAACATTTTTTACTCTTGCTCAACAAGGTTTGGGAAGCTGTTACTTCTGCTGCCATCTCTCCACTTCTTGAGTCCACGTAAGATAGAGCAGCTGTTCTTTCACAGGACAATTGGCAACACACCCATGGAGAAGTTATTGTGTGATATGTTCAAAAACTAAACAAGCACAAATGGAAGCTTCCCCAGATGTATCCTTTGTTCATATTGTGAATATCTTTTTCTCCAATAAAATTTGAAATCATGTGTTTATTTACCTTATTTGCCTAATGTAGTGTGAGTTCTTTGCTCTTTATTAAAAAAAAAAAAAAAAAGCTTTTATATGCATTTCTTATTTTTCTTGAGTTGTCTTTGGCTGAAAGGTGCTATATAAATAAAGTTGCCTTGCCTTGCCTTGCCTTATAACGGAACATAATAAAAATCATAACAAAAAGGGGCAATCTGGGCCAGACTCCAGCATGGGTTGAGCTAATCAAGGGCCCTCAGGTTTTGCTTGATAAATATTTTTTTTGACACTTTGGCATAACTAAAAAAGGGTTTTATTTGTTTAATTTCAATGTACATAATCAATATACAACTGGAAAAAAAATTATGGTAGATTAACAAATGCACATCACACTTTTTAGAGTTTTAATTGCAAATTAAACTGTGTATTCTTTTTCTTCTGCTTTACATTTTTAATTTTTGTGTTAGTTTATCACAGCTGTAACATAAAAAAAAGGTGAAAATGGGATGGATGCATCCCTTTTGAGCTTTTGACTTACATTTGTGTGAGTTACATTTGGAAGTGACAGATGTAAGTCATTTGTGACTTTGTAAGTTACAAATCACTTACAAAATGTCATTTGTGACTTTGTAATGAAAAGTCACAAATGACTTGTTGTTTGGAGCATACGAGAATTACCAAAGCAAGTATTTTTTATTTCCTGTAAGCATTTTATTTATGTGTCAAAAGTGTTACTTTTATGGAGGTTCTGAAACTAGATTTTTTTTTTAATGTGCAAACGACATCCAACTTCCTGGTATGCAAGCTTCAATTCAGAAACAAACATTAGGGGGCAGTGGTGAGCACATTAACAGATGGGTGCCACCGTTAACTCCTAGAAGAAGACGGTGGCTAGTTATTCCAAAGTACCAAGCTAATTCTGTTAAAGCGGTTTTGGTTTCTTCAACCAGGTGGATTCTAATTAACAGAAAAGTATAATGTTGTGGCTTTAATGGTGAAATAAGTCGTATTTTCCAGGGGAATGTTCGGCAGGTCGTATCAGCCTCTTCCGCAGAGGGACACAAGCTCCCAGAAGACGCCCGGTTTGTTTGTGAACTCTCACAGCTTTTCACAGCCAAGCTATCATAAAGGACTTTCATTTGATTATATCCCAAATATCTCTGCAAACGACTTTACTGGTAAGTTTTTAGCTACTGTTAGCTGTTGGATGTTTTCATTATTATTATTAGTGCAGAGTTTCTGATGATGCTTTTCTTTAAGACGCCTCTCAGGGATGGCAGTCTTGGATCTGCAACCTGATTGTGATCTTCCTCGTTTACATCTGTACCTTCATAGCTTTCCCAGTAACAGGATGGTTTGTTCTAAAGGTAGAGTAATTTTACCTTCCCCCACGCCTTATCAGTATCTCGACCCATTTGTTATCAGTTAAATTTGACCAAGATGGACTCATTCTACCCGCAGACTGTCCCTAACTACCAGAGGGTAGTCGTGTTCCGTTTGGGTCGGGTTTGTCCCCCAAAAGGACCCGGGGTTGTGCTGGTGCTGCCCCTCATTGATCAGTGGCAGAGAGTGGACCTGAGAACCCGAGCCTTTAACATCCCCCCGTGTCAGGTAAACCTAAGCAGAAGATCTCTGATATAAATGAGCTGTTTGGATTGGTGTTCAACATGTCAAATGGAACTATGTCCAAACAAAGACATAGTTACTCAGTATGTTGAATAAAAGACAAATCAAATCCAATATCTACTTCATCTCTGCTTTGTCTCTTTTTTTTAAAACTCGTGTAGAACTTATCAAAGTTCTGGAAATCTCAGTAAATTTATGTCTCACCGAGTTAAAAATCTCAGCCCTATCTGTGTTTTTATAATTAAAATTATGGTGTGTGTGCTATCGAAAACTGTCAAGCACTATGAGATTTATATCATTTAGGAAATCTTTTTTTTTTGTTTCAACCAACTCTGATATCTATGTTCTCCTCTGCAATTAGCTGTAATTTTGATCTTACTAAATGAATAACAACAAACCATCTTTTGATTGTAAAATATTTCATGTCTAAACAAAAGTTTTTATCTGGGCAAGCACAAAAAAAGCATTCAAAAGATACCAACATCATCTGCTTAGGTTACAATTAAATTTATTTTACCTTGTAATACTACAATCTAGATGAATTTAGTTCCCTAAATTTACAAAAAGAAACATTTTAAATAATAGAATTTGTATATGTTCAATATATTGCCATGCAATTTTCAGCCAATATTTTTTTTATTTAAGTTTTATTTGTTTTAATGGCTAACATAAAATCTCATAAATAGCCTATAATCATTCCTTATTCAACCAAAAGGTCAAAATATATTCTATTCCTCCAGAGGATATGCTCATTATCAAAAATAGCACCAAAATATTAGGAAATATTTTTCCATAAAAAAACTTGTCTGTGCATAACAATATAAATATTAGAAACAAAGTTACAACTTACATGGCCTATTTTTCTTGACTGCAAATGTAAAGTGTAACTCTGCCCCATCAGGTGATTACTCGGGATGGTGGCGTGTTGTTGGTGGGAGCAGACATCCAGTTCAGGATCTGGAACCCAGTCATGTCTGTAGTGTCGGTCCAGGACCTGAATGCCTCCACCAGGATGACTGCGCAGAACGTTTTGACCCACAGCCTGTCTAAGAAGACCATTAGGGAAATTCAAACTGAGAGACTGAAACTAGAGGAATATCTTGGTGTAAGTTCAAACATGAGCTATTTGTTATACTTCACTGGATGCTTAATATTCAGTGTTAACATAATATTCAGGAGTAAATTATTATTACACACATAAAATATGAGGACAAGAATGTTTATTCATAGTTTCATCAACTGTTAAGCTGCTGATGCAGACCTTTGATCACTGTTTATCTTTAGATCAGACCATGATGTGGGGCCTTTTTTAGCTATTCTGAACTACTTTATGTTATCAAAGTGGTTGTATTCAAAGTGACTCCTGTTTGTGCCAGTCAGCACAATTCACAAATTATTTGAATGTGGATTACCTTTCCACATCCGGCCTGGTTTTTGTGACAAAAAGCAAAAGCAGATAATATTTGTAAGGGTTCAAATAATTATTTTTAAGGCATTTTATTTTATCCAACCTTGTCTCGAAAGTTTGATGCGTTTTCTATTTATATAATCTTGGACTTGAGCCTTATGGAATTAGTTAATCCTGTTCTAAAATGTGTTTCTATTCTCCACAGATGGACATAAATGAAATGACTCATCCGTGGGGGCTCGAAGTTGATCGGGTGGAACTTATCTTTGGCTCTCTACTCAAAGCCCCAGAAGAAGGCCAAGCTGCACCCCTTACCACACCTGCTTCTCTACCATCTGCACCTGGTCTTGAAGGCCTCACAGGCTCCATTCAGCAGCTGGCCATGCACTTTCTTAGTAACAGTGGAAGTTCACATCCTAAACAGGGTAAAATTAAACATTTTGATGTTTTTTATTGTGCTGTATGTGTAAATTCTATTGTTGCTGCTTTAATGTGAGCTTCTTCTTTTCAGAGGACAGTCTGACATTAATGAATGAGCTCAGTAGTGAGGCTGAAGTTGCCGTGGTCACACCAGATTCTGTTGAGGAGTTGCTCAGAGGAGTCCAGATGCTCCTCTCTGAGACTTTGGTCCAACAGGTCAGGGCTTGTTTCCAGTTTGAGATCAGCAATGCCGATGGACAGCAGCGTCAGTACTACCTGGATTTAACTCAAGGTAAGCAGCTTAGAGCTTAGAACCGAATATGAAACTCAATCTATTCAGGGTTGCCATGCTTTATTGAAAATGGAATATGTCTCTTTGATTTAGTCTGGATAAGCTGTGCATGAGAAATGAGTTGAAATAATATTTAATATTTATTTGTATTTAAATAGCATGTGACTTATGTATTGCGAATTTGTATTTTTTCTGTGTGTGTTGCAGGTAGTGGTGTGGCTGGGTCAGGGTCCTTGTGTCGAGAGCCTGATGTGACTTTGAGCATGAGCGATTGCGACCTCGTGGACATGTTCCAAGGGAAGCTGCGACCGTTTGCCGCATACACCAGCGGCAAACTCAAGGTGCAGGGAGACATCAAGACGGCCATGAAGCTGGAAGAAGTCATAAAGCAGCTTAAAAAATAGCTTCCACTGTAACTTTGTTTTGCTGTGAGATATATGCTTAAATTTTACATGTAAATTTAATACATTTTAATATATGTTTTGATTAAAGTTATTCTAAACTAAAACTGCGTTTTTGTTTTTTTTCTATATTGCTTTTCAACAACACACACAAAATATTTTTTTTACTATATAAATGTCTTTTAATTCATCTTAAAAAAAACTTAAATCATAAATTATTTTGATGCTGTTGCTCAGTGTCATCGTTTGACACAGTGTACTGTTGGTGTGTTCTGTTATTTAGTACGGAAGAGCCTTGGTCAGTACAAAAAGGAGGGCTGACTTTGTGGACCAGCCTCCTCCAGCCTTGTTTGAGAGAGAAGCAGCAAGTGAGCCAGAGAAGCTGTTTGAAATTGTGAGCATTTTGTTGCTGAGATGGCCAGATTGAGTATGTGGAGGAACACCGTGGCGCTGCCCCTGTCTTGCATGGAGGAGCCGGTCGCCTCGGGCGTTCGCAGGAGCAGCAGCATGCCGGTGATCCGGCAGGCTTACCCGGAGAGCAGCAGCATCGTCCGGCCGTTCAGTGAGATTCCTGGACACTGGAAAAATGGGGTGGTCAACCTGTACAACTTCTGGAAACTGGATGGCTTTAGAAACCTTCACCGTATCATGCTGCAGAACTTCAACACATTTGGACCCATTTACAGGTAAAATATTTATAGATTAGTCTGTTCTTCTGGGAAAAAAAAAAAATATTTCACTGACTTCAGGGGAAATGTTGATTAAAAGTTGAGAGTTTTGCTCCACAAGGTCATGTAATCCAAAACAAGCAACTGCTGCAGTTTTATTTTTTCATTTTTTTTTTTTTTGTAAAACAGGGAGAAAATAGGTTATTATGAAAGTGTAAATATCATCAAACCAGAGGATGCTGCAATTCTCTTTAAAGCAGAGGGCCATTATCCTAAAAGGCTGAAAGTTGAAGCTTGGACGTCATACAGAGACTACAGGAACCGCAAATATGGGGTTCTCCTAAAGTAAGAACTTTTGCTGTCATATCTGCAAGGTCAGGCATTGTTTTTCAAAATGTTCAGCTTTAATTCAGCGTATGTTCATTCGATAGGAACGGTGAAGATTGGAGAAATAACCGTGTGATTCTTAACAAGGAGGTGATTTCCCTGAAGATGCTGGAAAACTTTGTGCCACTGCTGGACGACGTGGGCCAGGATTTTGTGGCCAGAGTTCACAAAAAAATTAAACGAAGTGGCCAGAACAAATGGACCACAGACTTGTCTCAAGAACTTTTTAAATACGCTCTAGAGTGTAAGCCCGTTTTCAGTTCAACTTGTGATTTTCCACAAACACTTTATCTAATTTGAATTCTGTCCGACACAGCGGTGAGCTCAGTGCTGTACGGGGAGCGGCTGGGTCTGATGCTGGATTACATTGACCCTGAAGCTCAGCGCTTTATAGACTGCATCACACTCATGTTCAAGACCACTTCCCCCATGCTGTACATTCCTCCTGCTCTGCTGAGGCAGGTCGGAGCCAAGGTGTGGCGGGACCACGTAGAGGCGTGGGATGGAATATTTAACCAAGGTGATATGTCATATATAATAGTCTTTTCAATTGCAAAGTTTATTTTACTGTGTAGTTCTATATATATTTTTTTATATTTCCGTATCTAATTTTGGTGTATCAGCTGACCGTTGCATCCAGAACATCTACAGGCAGCTGCGTCAGGAAACAGAAAAATCCAAGGAATACCCAGGAGTGTTGGCCAGTTTGCTTCTGTTGGACAAGCTGTCCATTGAAGACATTAAGGCCAGTGTGACTGAACTAATGGCTGGAGGAGTGGACACTGTAAGACAGAAAAAAGATGGGCACCATGTTTGTATTGCTATAGTAAGAAAAAACAATTTAGTTATTTCTTTATTCCTTAGACTTCCATAACACTCCTGTGGACACTGTATGAAATAGCCAGACACCCAAACCTCCAGGAGGAGCTGAGGGCAGAAGTTGCTGCAGCTCGGACTGCAAGCCAGGGGGACATGCTGGACATGCTGAAGAGGATTCCTTTGGTCAAAGGCGCGCTTAAAGAAACACTCAGGTAAAAGACAGAAAGAAAAAAAGATTTGACAGGACTGAATATTAAAAATGTTTCAACATTTTTTTCTGTGGATCATTTGGTTGAGTGGTTGTCTTACAATTGGTAGCGTAGGTTCAATTCCAGCTTTGTCCAATCATATGTTGATGAGCCCCTGGATAAAATCAACTAACCCCAAGTTAATTACTGGTATGTGTATCAGTGCATGAATGTCTTTGTGACTGCAAATGAGTGAATGTGTTTCTCTCAGTGGACCGTATGACTGGAAAAACAGTGTATAGGTTCAATCACCCTATCTGCTTTTTTTTTTTAACTATCTTCTTAGGTTGCATCCAGTTGCAGTAAGCCTGCAAAGATACATAGCTGAAGACATCATTATTCAAAACTATCACATCCCAGCTGGGGTAAGGAGCACTTATATACTCATACATTTCAAGCATCTTTATTGCAACAGTTTTGTTTTGTCAGTGTGTCTTTGTATTTAGACTTTGGTCCAGTTAGGGCTTTACGCGATGGGCAGGGACCCCAAGGTGTTCTTCCGTCCGGAGCAGTACCTTCCGTCTCGCTGGCTGAGGACTGAGACGCAGTACTTCAGAAGCCTGGGCTTCGGTTTTGGTCCCCGTCAGTGTCTGGGACGCAGGATAGCTGAGACAGAGATGCAGATCTTTCTTATCCATGTGAGCCAAGCAGAAAAGTAAAAAGGCAGTTTTTCCCTCATTATGCAGACCAGGTTGTATTTACTGCTTTGTATTTTCTTTCTCTTTTGCAGATGCTTGAAAACTTCCGAATTGAGAAGCAGCGTAATGTGGAAGTACAGAGTACGTTTGAGCTCATTCTCTTGCCAGATAAGCCTATAATATTAACTCTGAAACCTCTGCAAGTCAGTCAGTAAAGCATTTAGGAAATTTCTACTGCATGTGAAGCTATTCTCTTTTCAATAGCCCCTTTTATGGGCTTCCAAAAGTATTGTGGTCTTAAACATCTTAAATTCCTTGTGAAAAAAGCTAAAAATGTTACCTCAGAGGCTCAGTAGTCATATTTGCTGTATATAGCTTATTAAATACTTTGATTTAACAGTGGATTGTTGATCTGCGTAAGCAAAAACTGGATTCCGTCTCATTCCTGTAATATACTTATGTATATTTGTTCAAACCGATAAGGGATAAATAGCAAAACTGATACACTGTTTAATTTTTGCTATGAAACACTTTAGCCTTTCCAGGTATTTACTGATAATGGAATAAATTACTAGTCATATGAGATTTATTTGCATGCTTAGATGGTTACATTCTTTCACTTTGAATAATGTGCTAGTTTCTCATACAGTTGGGCCTCATTTCTTTCCCAGCTTTATAATTCTGCACTGCTTAAACCTCAGTAAATGTATTTATATAGAAAGGAAGACAATGAACGTAACAACAGAAATATCTGAATACAACTGTAATTTAAGGGCATCTTATTCAAAGCCTTAAAGACCAAAGATAAAAAAACTAAGCCTCTGTGCTGCTTTCTTCATCCTCCAAACTGCATATTATGGCATCATATCTGTATACAGTATTATCAAAACGTTTCAATGAAAAGCTTATTTTTACATAAAGAAGCTTTTGCTAATTTGTCATCATAATGGGATTTTCTGCCCATCCTGACTTTTTACCTTCTCTGGTTCATATTCCCTATAACTTTCCCAGAATGACTGTTACTGGTGATGCTAAATGTTGTTCCTGCTTTAATTCACTTACAATAGGAGACAAATGTAACGTAAAGAGTGTGGAATCACTCAATCTGCTGCTCAAAGACAGAAGAGTTTCCTGTTCGCCTTTGTATTTGTTTTTATTGATTACATTTAAGCCAAAAACATAAAGTTTCTCCACAAATATTTTCTTCATATTTTAATCACTCTTTGCATTTAGAGGTATTGAAATATCAGCTCTCTAAACGATCAAAAGTTACATCAACTCGACTTAAAATCGTCTGGATTCACTTGGAGGTGGGACTTCAATGCAGTCTGTTGGTTTTAATGTCAGTAAAGAGACCTTTGGGAGCATCCTTTCAGTGAAGGCCACAATCTGGCCCTCAGGAGATAAGAGTTGTTTTGTCCAATGAGTTTATCAGGGCCCATGGCCTAAAAGAGCTGCCTTATCGCAAAACAGCACCGTCTGCTTGAGAGCAGCCAGACATTCACAAGGATTTCCAGTCAGCATGATGCTTTCAACTGTTAACTTTGCACTAGTTTGTAACGTTTTGGTTCACCAGAGACAAGAGTCATGATAAAAGCTGGTTTTTCTTTTTTGCCAAAGGCATCAGCTGTGTCTTTTATCTGTTCTTTTAAATGTTGCAGATATTTAATTTGTTTCAAGTCACAGAGTTAGTAGCAATTTCCGATATTGTTTATGTGTATGTTCATCAGTGGATAGCAATTATCACTATTGTAGTTGTTTTGTCCGTAAATACATGGACACTGAAGTGATTTTAAGATTTTTGTTTCAATTTGAATTATTTTAAGCAAAAACAATTCCAGATAGATTTAAAATATTGAATTCTGCCAAAAATATTAATATAAACAATAATAAACAATGCTACATATTATGTCAACTGACATAACATGAACAAAGTAATATGTACCATAATAGAAAACAACAATAGAAGACATAATTGTAACTGAGATAAAAATGCAACTACATGAACTCTGTGTACTGTTTTTTCCTGTAAACATTTGTGCCTAAGCAAATTCAGTAAACAATACAAATTAGATTCCTTTGTGCCAGTCTAACACAATTTCTGACCAATAAACTTCGGGAGCTGGCTAGATGTAATACTGGGTATTCACCACTAGATGTCTCTCAACTCCATCTTATGTTGGACCATTAAGGAAATTCATCTCCTTGAGGTTGTTTTATGCACATTGTCATGAAGCTCATCTCAAACTGGTTTTGAAATCATATGGTTTTGTGAATATGACAATTACACTGCAATTACATTGCAATGGCCATCACTGTCACCAAATTCCAATACAGAGGGCAATACAGTACAATATTTGAATATGTTAGGCCATGATGGATGCTTACACTGCAGCTTTTTGGCTGTACCATGTCTATAACGATGCCCAAGTGGAAATGCTGTGTTTAAGCTGAGATTCATACAACCTTAAAATGGTCATTCATGATGATGCACAACACACATACCCTTACCATCTGATTAATAGATTCCCTTTTAAGAGCTAATCTCCAGGACCAGAAGACAAAAGAGTTGCAGATGCTTGTCCTCTATATAAACAACAGTCTCAGTAACTCACAGTATTTAAACCAGCAACTGTATTTAATTATGTTGTCATTAGCTCTGGCATTATTACTCCTGAAAAGAAACACATCTGCAAACTGATTCTGAACTTTTGTTATGGTGGCTTCAGCCAGAGAGTTAGTTGTGCTTGCAAAAGGCACATGGAAGACCATTTGGTAAGGATTAAGACAATACTTGTTCTAAATTGTCATAACACCACAAGACAAAAACAGTTTGGTGTACTGGAGAACTTTAAGTCTCACCACTGGGGTGTGAAAACTTTCTGTTTGACAAAGGACAATGTTATATTTGATCTATGTACAAACTGTCTGAACTTTGTCTTTCGTGGAAAGAAGAAGTGGACCAGGCATCTGCAGAGGGGGTTTTCCTCTCTGAAAAGGTTACTGTCATGTGTGAAACTGTGTCTATAAGAAGCACGCTCTAGTATTTTGATTTTTGCTCTCTGCCCTGGTGAGAGATATAAAAAGCTATCTCGGCTTTTTGAATAAATCCAAGACTAATGCATTTTGTTCCTAATTGCTTCAGGAGTCTGATTTTAAATCAGATTGTTTATATCCTTAACAATGGCAAACATATATTAAAACTCCCAACTGTACATATTTTCTCTTCACTTCTTGTCATTTACCTCCATCATCTTTGTTTAAGATAAAAGAAATGACTAGGCTAGTGTGTGCCTTTTTAAAAGATTTGCTATCCCACCAATTCTCTGTACAACCCATAATTATGCCGACAGACTGTATCAAGTCGATCATTGTTCCCTGTTCTATCACATGCTCCTCTATCTTGCTGAAAAATGTCAGAATGAATAGATGCTAAGAACAGAGTCCACCTCTGTTTGAGTGCCGTGACAATGAGGAGATTCCAATCTGAAATGGTGTTGTTGTGACTCCCATGGGACACAGGAATGAAATTGAGCATCTAATTGAAAGGGCAGTGGCAGGGTGACAATCATGACTATAGATGAGAACGTGTCCCTGCTGGTGGGCTCCCACAGGCAAAATGGGGAGGACAGCTGGAAAGTCCTTTTATGTCTTACAAATAAGAATTGGAATCTCATTGCATGTCAGTGGGAACTCGAGATTCTCTTTCAGCTGAATGTTGAAAAGACATTCAAGCGCCCTCTCTGTCTTGCATGCAGTCAGTTGTGCAAAACGACCTGTACAGAAGAAGATTGTGTTCCATGCCGTGTCATTATTGCAGTGTTTGAGAGCTGTACTTTCTCTGAAATGATACTCTTATTAAACTGTGAACTACTCTACATAAATACGTGAAATTAGAAAACAATAATAGAGCTGGAGAAAATGCCATTGTCCATCAACACCCCCAATTTAAGAATCAGCCTCATCAGCTTGTAGAGCGCAATCAGTCGAAGAAACGCTAATCTATTCCACAACCTGCTTTTTATACACGCCTGCCTTAGTATCATCAGCATCATCCACCTCCTCTCGTAACTGCTCACTAACTCAACCTGACAGCGGGAATTGCCCCACTGATTGACTGAACAGATAAGATATTGATCATCTCATTTCATCTTACTTTAAATAATAGTGATCACTTTTTGAAAAAGGTCTCTCACTGCGACACAGAGTGGATGCATGAATATGTTTTCAATAGTTATTCTGTCAAAATGTTATAGTAATATAGTAGAAGCAGTTCAGTGTAGCACATTTCCTTGGATGTGTATGGCTCCTGTGGGGTTTATTGTTCTATTAGCTGGTGCCTGCTGCTCCTGCTGGGCTGTGCTGAAAAGGAAGGACCTTCTTCTGTTGAGGTGTGACCAGTTATTAAGTGGGAACCATTCCAAAGAGATTATTACATTCTGCCAATGCTAAAAGCAATTAGGTTTGCTAAATATTATTTACATAGTTTTAAACTTCTTTAAAAAGCAGAAATTTCTAATCACCAAATAGTTTAAATGTTTATTTTTAATGCTAGCACAAATATTTCTAAAAAACTCCTTTTAGTTTCAAGGAGTGATGTTTTCAAAAAACTGCAGGAGACAAGTTCTTCTGCAGGATTTCATAATATCTTTTCTTGTTCTTCATCAAACTATTGCTGCTTTTCACTTTCTGATCATTTTTACAACACAAAGTTTAAAAAAAAAAATTTTTTTTGCTTAGACAATTAGAATTGGAACAATTGGTAGCACTATTTCCTTCCTGTAAGACAGTTTTAAGTTTCAAATCCTTGGTGTCTTCCTGCAAGTGTGCAAAACAATCTGTACATAATTGTTCTATACAGAGTTCTCTCTGTGCATTCTAGCTTCCCTCCACAGTCAAAAAAATTGAAGATATTTGTGGAGATCTATCAGCAGTAGCCTGTGCTCATAATTTTTATGAAACTATGAAGGTGTGAAAATCTCGTCTTCTTTAGGTTTTCAATTCCTACTTAATGTTTTAAGAAATATAAAAAATGGCTGCAAAGCGGTATACTTAAAAACAAGACGATAATGGTGACATCTCCAACATAAAGAGGGTGCATGTGCTGCAGATTCCCAGATAAAACTCTACTAATTTTCTTTTTACTCTAAATGACTGTTTAATTCATGATAAATAATTCACTGGATGCTTTCAGCTATGTGCTCTACTAGGAGACATAATCTCCTCTAATCCAACAAGGGGAAATTTGTTAGTATAAACACTTTCAGCACTTCTATCACATTACCAAGAAAGAGACTGCTCAACAAATTCACACAATCTTGGGTGCAAAATAATTTATATTCATATGTTGTGTTTGGCTGCTCGTGCTCATGTTCAGAAAGCTTCTGACCTTTTGCAATAAGATCTCTGGAGATTTGTCTGGAGATTCAGTGGTGGAGATGAGGCTTGGATGAGTGATCCATAGGAGGAGAGTGGGGATTTTGGGGGTCTCAGAGGCACAGTGTGACTCTTCTGTCCTATCATCAGGATTCAGCTCACAACCTACAAAATGTAGCAAATGGGCTCTTCATTGGAGGAACTGCTCTGAGCCTGCTGCTCTACTTCGCTTAATTTAGCCTGCCAGAAAAAAGCAGTTCCCAGGAGCTTCCTCCACCTCCACCTTTCCTGGACACATCCTTTCAGTTTTTCCCATCAGCCCTTCTTCTGAGCCACACTTTTTTCGTTTTTTTCGTTTGGCCTAAGTCAAAGCTCAAAGCTGTTGTGCGTCCAGCGTTGTCCCATGCCATCAGCTGCACCTGACAAGCCAAGCAGAAATAATAAAGCTGCACTAATGGATACAGAGGAAAAAGGTGTAAAGGACCAGAAATTGGCAGCAACAGAAAAGAAGAAACTGAGATTCCCTAGTTTACCTGGCTGAACTGTAACATTTGGCACAGACGTTTGGCATAATGAGCTTCTTTCCCACAAGAGTGCTTCTGCAGTTTTCTTGATAAAAAAATACTTGTACAAGCGGGACTTTTTTGAAAAACAAACTAACCCATGATGTAATGTGTTTAGATAGGAAATTTTCTGTTTTTAATTTATTTTGCTGTTTGACTATTTAATCAAGATAAAATCTGCTCTTGAGAAAACAAGCTTTGACATTCATACAAATCCTGTTTTATCATCATAAGGGATTGGATCAGTTATTTTTAGTGGGTCCTTTTGTATTTTTTCTTTTGTTTATTGTGATTTCTTGCAGTTTTCAGTATATTTCATCTTTCAAAAGTGTCTACTAACTGAAGTGCTACAGCAAACACTTCACATAGTTCAGTAAAATTTGACGTTAAAGCAAACAGAAGTGATTTGACATCATATCTCTTCCCTTTCTTTTGCTGGATTAAAAAAATATTATTTTACATGACACGTGGCACACTTTTATTTCTTTTTCAGTTTGTTTATAAAATTTTCATTTTACAAACAAAACAATGAAAACCATGTAACCATGCTACTATTCATTTTCTCAAAACACTGAATAGAAAAATGCATTGTTTTGGAAAATTTTCTCATAATTTCTGAAGAAGACAAATTAGTAATTACTAGATTAGATGCAATACAACCGAATTAGCCAAGACTATGTTTAA